TGCATGAGCCCCAGGGATGGGACAGGGACGCGGATGAGAGGGTCACAGGGTCCCCTGGCCATGCCACTCACCATGCCATCCCATGGAGTAGGGGAAGGAGACTTCAAAGAGGTTGTCATACTTGATGAGCAGTCTCTGCATGATGGAGGCCAGGCCTGCAGGGGAGTGCCAGGGAGTTGCACCCCAAGCTGGCCAGCACCCTCCAAGGGCAGGCAGGATGCCGGGCCTGGGGGGAGGGTCACTCTCTGCACCCCTCCCCGGGTGGGCATCGGTGAAAGGCAGGGGGGATGCACTTGACAGTTTCCCCTCTCCCGACCCATGCAGACAACCCAAGCAATGCAGCAGGAGGAGCCTCCATTCCTTATCAGCCAGCACCCCAAAAGTATGGGGCACCATGTGCTTCAGCACCCCAAAAAGGACACTAGTTCCCCCATCAGTACTGCCTGTGCCTGGACACACAGTTCTTGTCCTGGTGAAACAGGGGCGCCAGTCCTCCCCTCAAACTGAGCCCGGCAGCCCCGCACCCCAAGGGGACACGGACCCTCCAGCACCAGCAAGGCTGCCACAGAGCTGCCTCCTAATGAAGGCCGAGGCCAAAGGGCGTGGGACAGGGGCTAACGAGGCACAGAGCCACTCACTGTCCCTCTCGCCCTCGTGGAGGTCCTGAAGGCGGCAGACGTGGCGGCGGGGCAGCAGCAGGGTCTGGAAGGGCCAGGTGGCCCAGTACGGCACCACAACCAACCAGTCTGTGTTCTCCACCACCAGTCGCTCCTGCGGGACACAGCGCTCAATGGGGACACCTGCAGCCCTGACGCCCCGGGGATGGGCGCTCCCAGGTGCCCTGCTCTTGGGGGCTGGGGGACACGCCCCAGCACCCATCCAACTCCCAGGGAGGGGACGACACCATGTCCTCACCTTCCGGCGAGCCTCCTGCTCGGCGTACTCCAGCAGCATGGGCACACCATGCTGGCTCAGGTGCTGCCACTGGGTCCGGTCCTCCAGGCGTGCCTCGTTTGGGAGGAAGCTG